TGCGCCATCGTCCACACGTGGATAATGGCGCAGAAAGTATACCTCAGCGTGTGCGCATGCAAAATCCCTCGATCTGCGTCGTGTGGAAAATATCACACGTGTTTGATATTTTCTTCCACGTGTGGAAGATTGAACAGCTATTGTTCGCTTGGACACGGAGCGTCGTTGAAGAGAGCGTTCACACGACGTTTGATCGATCAGTTCTTGGACATGCCTCTATGCGAGCTGCCTGATATTCGAGCTGCGAGCTGCGAGCTGAGAAAAAAATACATTGCGTCCAAGCGAACAATCAAGCGAACAATGCTAATTGAATGTGGAAATTGACACAGCCACTCTGCACACGCTGTTCAATCTTCCACACATGGAAGAAAATATCAAACACGTGTGATATTTTCCACACGACGCAGATCGAGGGATTTTGCATGTGCACACGCTGTGGAACTTGCTGCGCCATCGTCCACGATGGCGCAGCAAGTTCGACAGCGTGTGCGGCAGGCTTTACCTAGCCACGTCTTTCATACCTGTCAACCTGTCCACTGCGTCTGGGATGCCACTGTGATCACTCCTGTAATGTCACTATCCCCACGCCTGTAATGTCACTGTTCACTGTACTTATTTCACTTGTCCACCATACCTGCCCGCCCACTCAATTCGCCTGTGATTTTAATTCACCGTTTCTGGTTTTAGTATGAGCTCAAGGAGCTGCGCAGAAAGCACGAGGAGGAAGAGCAGAGAAATCGTGCGGAACAGAGAGCTATTGAGGAGGAGGAAGAGAGACTGCGAAAAGAAAGGTCAGTAGTTATTGCAATATATACTCGCGAGGCAGCCATTCCAATACATCAAAGTGACTACGTACATTCTCGTGTTCTCTATTCTGAAGGGTAAAATGCCATTACTACACCTTTATTTCTTCTACTACTTCTTCTTTTTTGTGCTGAGTAGAAGTACTCAGCTGTGCAGTAACTTGCATTCCTACAGAGTACTCGTTGTGATGGCTATTAACAACCAATTTCTTAAAATAGTCACAACATATATTACTTATATAAATATATTAATCTAATTAATATTACAATATTAATATATTAAATATATTAC